AGGGAAGCTCTGTCTAGAAAGGGCACACAGGTATGACTAAGATGTCAAGAAGTATAGGTCACTGGCACATACAGGATATCAGTCTTTAATAATCACGTAGCTCTGGTGAGACGACTTGTCTGGACAGGGGCAGTGTTTAATAATCACAAGTGCTCTGGTCTGGATAAGAAAGATGACCACCTTGGTCTAATGACTAGCCTAAGAAGCATTTTATTTATGATGGCTTTCTCATAATGATCAATGACTAATCAAAATAATGATAAATATTAACAAGTGTAAAACCCAGTGTTAAATAATGACACCATTATGTCACATGAAATGGACTTCCCCTCTCATCAGTGAAGTTTCTCTTGGGGCATTCCATTCTCTGAGGAAACCCCCTTCTCCCTGAGCCCCCTACCCAAACCAGTTTAAAGTCTTCGTATCTATTTCAATTTGTTTTACAAAAATGGGTGAAAAACAAACAAAACTTCACTAGGGAACACTTTAAAAGAATACTCGCCGATGGGTGTTAGTTTCTCTAAGGAGGGCTGCTCTTGACCAGTCAGTGCTCAAATGCTCAGCGCTGGGGCTTCCCTTGCCATTTCCCCTTGTCTTCACTTCTGGGCTGCTGGGCCCCTGCAGACATTTGAAGAAGCAGAAGTAGGCCTCTAAAAGAGCAGCTGGCCACGCAGGTGTAAATGCAGACAGATGAGGCCCTTCAACCAGGGATATCCCACTCATACTACAATAGATTGCAGGCTACACGGTCACTTTAAAAAAAGTTTTATACAGATTTGGAGACTATAAACATGGAACTATATAGAAGGCAACTGGTAAGGGCTCCTAGGTGTGTTTCTTTGTGCCCAGGTGAATTAAGGTAAGAAAGCAAGGCCCAAATTATATCTTTACCAGTCGTCAGACCTAAATGAAAAAGATGATTATTTTGCTGAGTCTAAAAGAAGTGGTTTAGATTTTGGCTGCTGTTTTGAGCTTGGATCACAAACCATGACATTTTTTGTTTTGTTTATTAATCCATGAAAAGTTTTAAAGGACCTTTTTATTGTCTCTGGTAGACCTTCCTTGGCAGAGAAAGGAAAATACATAGGTCAAGTGAAACCATTCCAGACAAGGAAAATAGCCCACCTACAAGATGGATGTCCATAAGCCAGGAATGGTTTTACTTGACCTATGTATTTTCTTAACCAAAGATCAAAAACAGCATGATGTCAAGAGCAGAGCAACTGAAAGTACTGGGCTCTGCCAACTATTAGAGCTATGGCTGCAATCAAGGAGCATTCAGCAACACGTTATAGCACTGTGTGCAAAGATTGACCTCTCTCTCTCTTTTGTCACACACACACACACACACACACACACACACACACACACACACCAGCATACACTGCATCTGCTTAAAAAAACAAAGGACCATAGAACTTCAGTCACTTAGATGATGGAAATTGCATTGTTTTAGAAAAGGAAGACAAGTAGGTAAACACAGTGTCGATGGAGTAATTGGCCTATAAAAAAGGATTCATTATTTGTGAACCTCACACCTGGACAAATGCAGTAATCTCCCAGTTGTATTTTCTTTCCTTCATGAACAATCATCTGAAAGTTTCTCCACATTGCAGGAACTGGTTTAGGTGTTGGGTATTAAGACAGATAATTGGCCCTACCTACCCTAATGAAGCTGACTTTGGAAACCAGATGTACTGATAATACACAGGCATACATGTTATGACCTGTAGGCTGAAAATGTGTCACCTTCCACCCAATTTTGGGGGACAAGGGCTCTAACTTCTCCTTTGCCTGATCCTCTGCTCTATAATTTGGCTAATAACTCCATTCTCCCCAGGCTGGCCTTGCCTCTGCCAACCCTCCCAGAAGTCCTACATGCTGACAGACTTCATTGACTCCCAACTAAATGCCTGCTAACATATCTCCATTTACCTCCTCCCAGATTCTCCAACCCTTTATCTCTGCCCTGCCAGCAAGATACACACTTGCTGTTCTTCTCTGATGCCAGTCTCCAGATTTTTGTGCTCCGAGATTTGACCTCCCCAAATCTCTTAAGTGTAAAGAAGAAACCAAGTTCGTAATCAGAAGACTGCTTGGAGGCTGACATCGGTGGCCATCTAGAGGCTGAGGTCACTGAGGGCCCACACTCATGGTCAGCTGTTCTGCATGACCTGCAGCAGTCCCCCAGATATCCTTTGAGAAACAGAAGATGCTTTGTGCTTCCATCTGGTAATTCTAGACGCCACCATTTTTTTCTCTTCACAATTCATGAGGTTCTAGTTTTCTTCTACTTTCAGTCAAGCTTTGGCTAGGTTAGCTCTTCATTTTAACTTCTTAATTTGTTTTATATTGGACAGCGTAACCTAACAATTCTGCAAGAACTAACATTATCAGTGTAGATTTAACTGGCTATCAAGAGAGAAAAAGAGAGAAGGAAAGAATGACAAAGAAAGAGATCTCATTTCTGTGCCTTTATTATACAGGTAATAGAGGCAGGAAGTACATTTTGCTCTCTGAAGGCTGAAGACATTTCTGATAGTCATAACTGCTACTGTCAAACAGTAGCAGAGGCCAGGAATACTGCTCAATAGCCTTCAATGCACAGGACAGCCCCACAACAAAAAAATAATCACCCAACCCAAAATGTCAGCAGTTTAAAGGTTGAGAATCTCTAGATTACAGTATGTTCAAAAGACCAAGGAAGATTATATAATTACTTCTCACTTGGGCAATTCACCTCAATTCTCTGAACTTATCCATGACATCTGATGACGTGGCTGACTTTAATGGTTAAGCTTCTGCTTGTGGGATATCACACACTCTCACCTTAAAGTTCAAAGAATTGCTCACTAACCAGCCCTTAACCATGTGTATGAACCAGCTGGCCCACATGACTAACAGACTATTTCTCACTGGGCACAAGGAAGGCTTATTTAGGAGTTGTTGCCAACATCTGTAGTTTTTAGTGTGCTGAGAGACAAAAAAAAAAAAAAAAAAAGGTAGGAAAGAAAATGGATGCAAAAATCTTACATGGAGTGAAATTCTATTAAGCTTATCATGCCTTAAAAATTTTATGAGAGAATCCAAATAGATTCTCCTTTAGATGTGAAGCTTCCTTCCCTTCTTCTTATCATCAGGAGCTATAAAAAGAAGGAGGAAAGGAATGGAGCTTGGAAGTGGACAGGCAATTGGGTCAATGGGAGAGCTTCTGCTCTGAGGTGGCACTACGGAAAGAGAAAAAAATGAGGACTTGTTGCCAAACTGGATTAGACTTTCCCTTTTCTTTTTATTCATAGAAAATGCAAGACTTGAGAAACTGATAATAACTGTTATAATGGAGGGAGGTGGTGTGAGGTCTAGAACAGAATGAAGGAGAAAGCAAGACGACAGTCTTTTATGGAGACTCCCTCACCACACACACAAAATAATAAATATTAAAAACCTGATTCTTCTGATTTATGTTAATGGTCTTCTCTTTTCTTATTTAATAAAAATTGAGAATGTGAAATCTAAAATGGAGAATCTGAGCATGTGGGTATTACAGAGCTAATATAAATGCAGGCCAGAGTGCCAACATTGCCTGTTAAAAGATAGCCTGTCAGGTTCTGAGTCTAAGAGAAACTGTTAAGCAGATGATCTGAGCTATAATTATGGTGAGGAGCAGAGGAGTAAGAGAGGTGGGCTGCCCAGATGACTGGGAGACAGGAGGGAGAAGAGGAAGTGAAGGTGGTAGGAAAGGAACACTCAGAAACAAGGGGCAGGAAGTGTGATGTCTGATCTGGGTCCCATCTTACCTAAAGTAAACAATTTGGGTGCATTCTGAGTAATGGCTTCCTACATGTGGACTGTTGGTTTCACAGAAGATGTGGCATACAAGGAAAGAAATGGCCCAGATAGAGTTCCCAAGTTTTCAAAATGTCAGCATTTCTCACTGCTGTTTTCTAATCCTCCTGAAATTCATTAATTTATTCAACAAATATTTACGGAAGCCCCTATCTGTGCCAGGTGCTGTGCCAGGCCAGGTGACTATAGTAGTTAAGACTGGCAAGGTACAGTTCCTTTGGAGTTTGTTTTCTAGTGAGACAGATAAAATGTAAGCCAGTCAATATGATGTTGTGCCATGGTTAAATGGTATGAAGAAAACACTTCAGAATTAATATGGTAGTGACTGGAGTATCTACTTTACTAGTAGGTTGGATGGTCAAGAAAAGCCTCTTTGAGGTGACACTTGGTGACATGCCAAGAGATTAAGATTGAGATGTCTAGGTAGAGAGCACAGCCCACACAAAGGGCCACGTGCTGATCTGTCCTGGCAGGTCTGAGGAGCCCCCAGAAAGACCATGCGGCCTCACTGGTGAGCAAGGAGTAGATGAAATGAGGTCCTGGGTGAGCTCAGCCATATAAGACTGCAACATGTGTTCCTTTAGCAAATACTTATTAAGCACCTAGTGTGCCCACGGCATTGATGAGCATACAGAAATGGAACTGAGAAACCCCCCCCCCGTCTCAAGGATTCAGTCCCCAGGGAAGAAGTTAAAGTATAGTGAGGGTGACTGAATATTCAAAACAACTTTGCTACAGGCGGGACACACTAGATGTACAGAGCCGCGGCCTGAGGTCAGAGATCCGGCGGCCACCTCCTCCCCCCACAGAGAGGCAGGGTCATTCCAGAGATGAGTAACCGAGCCCACCTTTCCTCGGCGGGCGCGCCTTCTCGGTCTCCGTGGGTGGGGGCGGGCCACAGAAATCCCCGCCCGGCTGGGTCTGCCGGCGATGAACACCTGATTCACCCGCCGCCCGGCGGGGCGACGCTGCTCGGAACAGCCCCGCCCCCGCCCCGCAGTGGTCCCGGGAGGAGGCCGGCGGAAGTCTGGGTGACTCTGCCCCCTCCCCCAGGCGGCCCGTGACGCCCGGCCGGGCGGGGACCTCCTCTGCGACCCCCGCCCCCGCCCCCGCCCGCCCGCGGCCCCGCCCATACGCTCGGGGACGCGCTTGCGCGCTCGAGGCCGCCTCCCGCCGGAGCCGCTCTGCGCCCCTCCCCCGCCGGCCGCCGGAGCCCGACCACACGCCCCAGGGAGCCGGGGGGAGGGGACGGGGGCCTCCTCGGCGGACGGGCTGAGCGGCTCCTGTTCCCGGCTGGGACGCCGCCGCTCCGCCCGGCCGAGCCGGGAAGTCCGGGGCGGGCGAGCGGAAAACCCCAGGGTCCGGCCTGGTGGGGAGCCAGCCGCGCCGCCGGCCGCCCCAGATTCCCGTTGTTGTTGTTGACAGTCAGTGCACGCAGTCCCTCCCCGCGCCTCCTCCCTCCCGCCCCACCTGCTCCCCGGCTCCCGGCCCCGCCACTAGGGAGCCTGCGCCCTCGGAGCCGGGTGTGGGAGCGGGCGCTGGAGCGCGCATTCGGCCGCCATGGGGAATGGGATGAACAAGGTAACGTGTCTGTCTCTCCTGTGTGCAGGTTTCGCCTCCACCTCTCAGCCTCCCTCAGGCGGGAGTGCGGGCTCCCCACACGTGCCTCCGTGGAGGGGGAGGCGGGCGGTGCGGGGCGGCGCCGGGCCTAGGCATTGGGGGGCGCCCCTGTGGGCCCCGCTTCCGGCGCAGCCCCCGCCTCCGGGCGGGCGGGCGGCCTGCGCACTCCTCGCTGTGTGGGTCGCCGTTCCGCTCCCCCACCCCGGCCCCGAGCTTGGCGCCGCGGTCCTCCTCCCCTGCTCACTCCCGGCTCTGGAGGCGTCGTCACGGGGTCGTTAGGAAACCAGTAGAGAGGTGTCCTCCAGTCTCTACCCTCCTTTTCTCCACAGATTTTGTTTATTTTTCGTGCGCACAGACTAGTCCTGTGGACCGAGAATTGACGGGCCCGATTCCCAGGTGTTTTAAACACCCATTAGGGGCGGGGCGACCTGAGAGCACTGACCGAGCTGACAGATTCTGGGTGGGTGGCTGCTGCTGCGCGGCCAACCTGTGGGCAGGCAGACCGCGGGCGTGCCCCCTGCAAATCCGTGCTGCGCTCTCCTCCTGCTCCGGCCGCGCCGCCTGCCCGCCTTTCTGCCTACTAGGCTGTGGGCTGCTTCCACCGATGGAAGGTGGCAGGAAAGGGACAAGCTCTTAAGCTCAGAGTTGCCTGGGATGTATGTATTCATGTTAAAGGTTTTGTGATCTGGTACTGGTGGTTTAAAGAAAAGATTTACAATAACTTTTTTAAAACCCTCAACACACGCAAGGTCACAGGTCTGTGGAATGGTCCTGGATTGGAGAGTAGCGTCTGGTCTGCTTCTCTTTCCCCATTGAATCCCACCCACTCACTTTTCCACATACATTCAGTACTCAAGGTTGGTGGATGTAACAATGTGGCTTTCTTTTTTTTATATGTCTCAGAACTGGGGTCAGCAATGACCTGGTTCCTTTAGCTGGAGTGTCAAAAGTGTGCTAGGGAGTGTTAAGTGACAAGATGGGAAAAGAGGCTTATGGTAGAAGAAGCCCTTGTACCTTCTTAACTCCACCTGCCCACATTGTTTCTTGTGTTCTGCGGATCCAGTTGATGAAAGAACTATGTGTTTTGGGCTTGCATATCTGAGGGTTTTTTGGTAGCCAGAATTGTATTCATTGTGTGTGTGGTGTTTTTTTTGTTGGGGGTTAGGGGAGTGGATGGTGGGGTAGTGATCAAATTTGGAGACAGACTATTTGGCTTTTGGATAACCACTTGCCCTATGTCAGCACCATGCATGAGTCTTCCCCTTATTAAATTAACACAGAACAACAGTAAAGCCACTTTCACAAGTTTGTGGGCCCTGTCTGCTTTCCTAATAACTGTGGTCATACCTCGGCTTTCCTTTGGTTCTTTCAACAGTATTTCCCACTTAAATTGCTTACTCTCCAGCTCTTTCAGCATGTCATTTATTACATTTATATTATAACTCAAAAGAACATATTTCAAAATACAAATGATTGTCCAAGAGTTCAAAATTAATTTCAAGCTTTTTAGCAAAAAGTCACATTATGAATTTACCCTTCAAGAAAGTATTACTTTATGATTCTATCCTAACCATCTTGTGTTGTAAATAGAACCACTATCTCCAATCTAGAGATGGAGAAACATACAGACAGATTTAGAAATATCCTTAATTCAACAAATATGTATTGTGTACTTGCTATTGTAGTCAGGTGCTGTGCTAGTTGAGTGGGTGGGGTGAAAGTGTGATGGTAATGACACAGACAGAGCCTTCAGTGTAGACCAGCGATTGCCCAATAGAAATAGGTGAGCCAAGTATTTAATCTAGATTTTTTTAGTAGCCACATTAAAAAAGTGAACAGAAACAGGTCAAATTAAAGTTAGTAATATATTTTGTTCAACTGAAATATATTCAGAATTTTGTCATTTCAACATGTATCCAATATATAAAATTATTTATAGAATGGTTTACAGTTTTATGTACTACATCTTCAAAGTCTGGTGTATATTTTATACGTAAATCAAATCTCATTTTAAGTACTCGGCCATTGTGGCTAATGGCTACTATATTACACAACGTGTGTATATGTGTGTGTGAGAGAGAAAAAGAGAGAAGACCTGCATAAACACAGGATGGGGAGGAATACAAGCTCCAGGATAAGATAGGCAATTTCAGGAACGTGGAGTAAGTAGATGTGATGAGAGAAAGCTTGAAGTATCATTTAGGCCAGGCCAAGGATCCTGCTTGGGCAGAGATGTTTAAGCTGAGGTCAGAATGAATTGCTCAAAGTTACAAGGTTAATTAGTGGCAAAGTAGGCTGCCGGAAGCCAGAAATTAAAAGCATTAACTAGAGTTTGTTCATGTCTTTGTGTGACTTGGAATTAGGCTTCATATTTTCCCTGTCTATAAAAAAATAAGGTTGATTTGCAGGATCAGTGGAATTATTATATGGTGCTAACCATAGAAATGCTTTTCTAAGCACTTTTATGAGTAATACATGATGCCCTTCAAACTGAAAATGTAATTGACAGTACGTGTGTCCTGAGGTTACTGGGACAAGATTTCTTTCCAGTATGCCAAATTAGTCATTCTTGGCCAAAGAAAACTTATGAACTAAACAATGCAGATTCCATTCTGACTGCTTGGAGTTTTTACTTATATTTCATGCCCTCGAGAGGATCTTATCCATATGTTCCAGTCTTGAGGAGAGCATCATGCCCATCTTAGGTGTACACAGTGTGTTACACAGAGTATAAGGAAGAAAGGCTTCTTTGTTCTGGGCAATTGAAGATGATGAGGAAATACAGAAAGAGAACACAGCAATTGTGATCTATTATTTTTTGAGCCTCATATGTGCCTGCAGTTTATAAAATCTAAGCCTCACTACAGCCTGTCTTTTCCTTTTGTACAGATTGGAAATGGAGACTGGTAGAGATGAAGTAGCATGATTAAAGTCTTACCAAATGCTAGGAAGAGGCAGGACTGAGTTTGGAGCACAGTTCCCACTGATTTTGAGGATAGGAGAAGCCCTTCCTTTACCTGGGATGTCAGTTCAGTCCACATGAATTCTAAAGATAGCAAAAAAATAATTTGAGAAAGCTCCCCAGAGTTCCAAATTAATTGCAAAATAGGAAAGCCACATCCTCTCTTCATGGTTGACATTAATAAAGCAAAAGGAGAGAAAGGGAGGCAACTAAAACTATCATTTCATTCCTTTTTGTGCAGTTCCCAAATAGATTCTCTGAACTGGTCAAAATTATAGTCACTAATGAGCTTATTGTATGCCAGGGCAAGTCTTGAGACTTTACCTTTGATCCTCACCACAGCGCTGCCCAGTAGATACTGTTATTTGTATTCCTGTTTTACGGTGAGGTACACAGAGTTTAAGTGACCAGCCCAAAGTTGCCTGTCTGGTGAGTGGCAGAGCCTGAACTCTAAGCCAAATGATTGGGTTCATAGCCATAACACAGAGTGCCTCTGTGCTGCTAAAAGGGTCAGACGAAATGTCTCTGTTGAGGATTAGAGTAAAACCGAATAGGCTATTGCATTCAAATTACCATGTTTCTGTGGAGCATTTGCAAACTCCTAATTGACTCAAAGTTCTCTCAAGTGTCTAAACCCCCAAATCTTTTCGGGAGGACCTATAAAGAAAATGACTATCTCATTATCATCTTATTAACCTTAAGTAGTATTATAATACCCCATTAAAAACAAATATCCAGTTTTTCTAGCCTGCATTATATTGGAGAAACGGGCCCAAATGTGTCTCCAACCTGAACTAATGACCTAGAAGTGTGCTAATATGGTACCACCTTCTGGCTCTTGTATTCTGGTTGATGTATTTTCGCCCCCTGACTGAATGGTTGGCTCAATTCATCCAGCACCCAGCTGCCCAGTCTGGTAGTCTCTTCCTTCCTCCCACTCTGCTCTGTGTCCTCTAAAAGCAACCTTCCGAGTATAAAGGGATGTTGTCCAGTATTTCATGGGAAACTTGCTTATGGTAATAGGAGACAAACACTTCAATTAGTGCATCACTTTTAGATGAGAAGCCCACATTGTAAAAGAAAGAGGGACAAGCTACTAAAAAGCCTGACTTAAAGTGTCTCCTATTCTGCTGCTTCATGCTGCAATCTTGAACAATGTTAATGAATGTTTCTTTTTTTTTTTCTTTTAGTTTTTTTTATTTCAAAAAATTTTTTTTTTAAATATAATACCGTTACTTGCAATAAACATTAATATCTCAAGAGATTTTAAATATGTTACATGCAATAACCACCAATTCAAGAAAAATTATCTTACATATAATATTACTATAATAAACATTAATATTTCAAGAATAAAAGGATTTTAAGTATAACAATATTACCAAAACTGTACTAATATAGTATGATGGGAAATATTAAAAATCTGCTAATAACAGGATTACTTCTATTATATTCTAGTATATTTCCCCCTCTGGCTCTATTTTTGTTCTTCAGTTTATGTTACTCATTATATTCCACCAATGAGTGAGATCATATGATATTTATCTTTCTCTGACTGGCTTATTTCGCTTAGCTTGATGCCCTCCACGTCTATCCATGCTGCTGTAAATGGTAAGAGTTCCTTCTTTTTTTACTGTAAATGTTTCTGAGCTTTGGTTTCTCTATTTCCCTTGATTCATAGGGACGGTGGGTAACTTATCTAATATCCTATTTGCTCTAAAATGAGTTCAATAATACTTCCTCCAGTTTCTGCCCAGATTCTTGAGAGAAGCAAATGAGAATTGATGAAAAGACATTTTTACCAACTATAAGGTGCAAATCTGCACTTGGATTTGGCACATCAGTAGTTACAGTAGTGATGGCATCTGCCTTGGATATGGTCGACACCTGTGGTAGCATAGCTCTTTTCTTCTTAGGAAGATAAGGTAGTATAGTTGCTAAAGGAGTATAGTTCAAGGGGAAATAGCTCAGGGGATCAGCCCCCAAGGCAGAGACCAGGGCTTCTCAGCCTTCAGTTTTGAGTTTGAGCTGTAGCGTTCTTTGTTGTGGGGACTGTCTTGTGCACTATGTAGGAGGTTTAACACTATCCCAGGCCTCCACCCACTAGATGCCAGTAGTCCCCTCTCCACTTGTGAAAACTAAAATGTGCCCACGTATTACTATTACATGTCCCCTGGAGGGCAAAGTCATCCCTCATTGAGAATTATTTACTTAAGGTTCTTCACTCAGAATCTCCTGACACCTGTGTTAATCTGGAACCCAGTCATTCTTAAAAGGCCAAAGAGACCTAAGAGGTAGAGAAGCACTGTTTAGTATGGGAAGGAGTTAGAAGATCAGACATCTTTGTGCTGTTAGATGCTGCAGTTTCCACATGGCGGCACCTGACTTCACTTCCTTCATAATTATTCAGTTGTCCATTTACCCAGTCATCAGATTATGTTATTGAATACCTGCTATCGTCCAGGCACTGTGTTAGATCCTATAGTGGGAAATAATGTGCTATCCAAGTTGGTCCGAAGCAAATTACAGAGAGTACTCCCTCTGTGGGAGGTAAGTGCACTGTGAGTGGCACACCTGTACAGCTGTGTCTGTGGGGCTGATGGACAAATGGCACTATGTTGGCGGTCTCTCTATCTTCTCTACACTACCTGCACATTTTCTCTTTTTCAGCATTGCAGATTCATTTCATATCGAAGGAACAGATGCTTAAGGCCTGTAAGTGCACGCAAGAGTATTCTCAGATTTTTCTTTTTGTAGGTGCAAACTGGTTATGTTCTTAGCCACATGGCATTAAGAAAGTCTGTGACATTCAACCCTTTAGGCATCCTCCAGAATTCTCCCTCTCACCCGTGGCTTTAAAATTCAGAAAGTCCTTTCTGACCGAGGGAGAATTATAAGCCTTCCTTCACCCCCATTACCTTGTACTACTGCTTGATCAGGAATTTTCTCCCTTATATCTGTTTGGGTTGTGGTCTTAGATTCCATGGCATCCTGAAATACTAAGAAATGTTTAAAAAGTAAACTCAAAATATTTCCTGCCTTAGAAACAGTATCCTTTTGTGCTTAAGATCATTCTTGCAGATAAGGATTTGATTTCATGTATTTCTGTATGAATAGTGTTAGTAAGGTGTGGATGAGAACAATATTGATCAAGGGGAGCCATCAACCATGGAAAATTTTTAGAATGGTCTCAGAATTACTGCAGAAGGAGACTGCCTTATCATTACCTATCTCCAGATAGTCCTTTAACAAAAGTAAGAATCTTTTGGCCAGCAGTGTCAGCATCTTCCTTCAGTGATTATCTCTTCATGTGCCAGACTCAGTGGCAGGCTTTTGGGACATAGCAGGATACAAAACCCTGTTTCAAGGTCAATCAGAAAAGTAAGCAAATAAAATAATTTTAGGTCTTGATAAATACAATGAAGAAAATAAAGCGGTGATGTAGTAGAGGTGGCAGGGAGTTTGTAGTCATGAGAGACCTCCCTAGGAGCTGTCATCTCATGGGAGACCTAAGTGACAAGAACCACCAAGGGGAACAATGGGGAAAGAATATCCTTGGCAAAGGGAAGGGATAGTTATTCCCAAGGCCCAAAACTGATTAGGACCAATTCTGAACTTATTTTTTTAGAGTCACAGAATATTCCCAAGTTACATTTACTACCTTTTCCCCTTGATCTGTCCTTACTTCCTACCAGGTGTGAATTCACTGTTCATGCTGTTCCAGGTGAATGCCCAACTCTCTCCTGGGCTCCTCTACAAGCATCTATCTGCTGGAAAATTATTTTGTTTCCATTTGTCTCGTTTTTTGAATTTAGGGATTATTAGTAACAATAATATTGGAGAAATAGGGTCACATTTTTTGTTTTTTAAGTTTGAATTACAGTTTTAAGTATGATTGGTATAGAAATTTAAATATTTATGGGCTTTTATTCCTAGAAAACAAAAATGGAATTTTTCTCCCTGCCAGTGGTCAATCCTTCAGCCGTCCTTATTCTTGTTTTGTAATTGTATGTGGCAGAAACTGAGATTGAGCAATTTGCTTTTTATTTCCAGCCCTTGAAACTCTAGTTTACTCTTCTGGTCTTGAAAATTGAGTTAAAAGTTTACTGACATTACTCTGTTCTCTCCTTATATTACTTAAAAAGATCTTAACTGAATACAGAATGTGCATCTTAAATGACTTTAGTAAGTTGGCTTCTTGATTTTGGTAAGCTCAGATCTCTGTTTTTGCCAGCTCTTGCCCTGGCATCCCTCAGGATGCTGCTTTCATCAGCCCAGCCCCAGTGCCTCAGCCTGGTTCACTGACCCCAGACAGAAACCAGCCAGGGCAGAAAGGGACAAAATTTGATCTCACAGGTTTCATTCACCATTTGTTTTCATATTTCTCCTTTCCTTGCTTTGACTCCTCCCACCCTATTCATATTGTTTATTTGCTCATTGAAAAAAACATTTACTAGTACTTGAGTACCTATCAATCTAAGGGAAACCAGTTGAGTTTAGAGAAACATATTCACACATATGATGCAGGCAGCAGGTAAATTAGACTGTTGTGGGCAGTAGTCAGCCTGCACTTGTGTTTTACTTACCTATCGAAATGTTTAACATTGTTTTTCTTAATGTAGATGACAGTGTTTGAAAATTGGGTTGTTTCCCATAAAACCTGGGTGCTGGGTTGGGGGGCCTGGCCTATGTCTCCCTTGGATGAGGAGAATATGGGGGAAGGTGCTAGGCATAGGGCAGAGGCTATAGACATAGCAACCTCGGTCCTTGCAGTCTCACTTGCTGAGGTGTCATATGTAGGTGTCATCCTGATAGCTACTTAGAGCCCTAAGAAGATCTTAATCTGAAATATCACATGATGAGCTTTGCACCTTGGAGGTAGGTTGAGGAATTTTTGGAGTTGCCAAGTTCAGAGGTAGGGAGATGTCTAGGAAGTTATTGCAGTAAGTAAGAGGGGAGGGCTGAGGAGTCGAAGGAAGTGCTAAGTGGAGTCCAGAGGAGGGAAGAGTCTCCTGTGAGTAACCTCCAACTGGTCCTTGGAGTACCAGTGGGGATGCTGCTTTCAGGGTGGGTAGGACTTTGCTAGTTGGTGACTTGCCTGATGGTCTGTGAAACTTATTTGCAATTGTGTATCTTTTCTTGATTTAAAGGCCTACATCAGGGTCTGTGGTCTCAACAAGAGAACCCAAATGTGGCTGCTTTATATAGAGTAGGTCAGGCCCCAAGGTCGTTCGTGCATATGCCATTGGTTTTTAGCAAGGCAAAGATGCACAATAAAATCCATGCCCTGAAGAACGTCACTGGGTGCTGCTTTCAGGTCTCTTAGGGAATTGAGCAAAAAATAGGGAGCGTGGAGCAGAGCCGGGTACAGGGTAGTGGTGCTGACATGAGGGTGTTGCTTGGGTACTGGGGGTATGTAGGGAAGTGTCATCAATACCTGTGTGTTGTGTGCACTGAGCAATCTGTCTGGTACTGTAGCTTCTGCAGCAGTGTCCCTAATTGGACTTTAGAGTTTCCATACAATGTATTGGAAAGACAAAAATGATTTTCTGGTTTCGTTTTTTGCAAAGTGAAAAATAAGTCCCTGTTCTCATCTCAGATCTACTGAATCATTTTATATGGGGGTTGGGGGCTTGTCCAGAAATTTGAATTTTTAACAGATTCTGGTGGATAGTTTGGTTTGAAAACACTGTCTTAGGAGAAGTAGACATTTAGGAGCAAATGCATGTTCTTAATTAACTTACCCATTTAGATAGTCCATTCATTCATTTAGCAATTTTTTGTTGAATGATAATCATGGGCCAAGCCCTGAGCCAGGAGCTGGGTGTGCGGCTGTGAGTGACAGGATATGTTTGCCGCCCAGAAAGTTTTCCAGCCCAGCAGCAGGCACAGACCTTCACCTTGTAGTGCCCGTGATAGCATCACTATAAGGAGAGCATAGCAGACTGTGGGCACTGAAGCAAGGGTCTACTCCAGACTTGGGGATCAGGACAGGCGTCCTTTGGGCATGAGTCATAGCTGCCTAACAGTGGGAATAACATGCACAAAGGCCTCAGACAGCAGAGGGCAGGTTTGCTAGAGCTGTGAGAGAAGCCTTGTATGTGCAGCAGGTATAGAGGGTGTGTGAAGAGTATACTGAGAAAAGGAGGAGTCATGGAGAATCCTGGTCTTTCAAGTTCCACAAATAGATGGGCACCAACATGCGACCATCAATAGGTTATTTGGGAAGGCTTACTATTGGCCATGGGAAAAAGGCAGGAGCCTGGAGACAAGGATGCTTGCTTGTGTGTGATATCCATCTAGGGAGGTGCTGGGAGTGGATGTGGCAGGTGATAAGCCTGTGCTCCAGCTACTCTGCTGAGGGTTCAGCCTCTATATTCAAAGCACTGTCAGTTTTAGGTCCCTAACACTCACATCTGGTCTGTGTCTCTTCCCTAGATCCTGCCTGGCCTGTATATTGGCAACTTCAAAGGTGAGTTCTCTTTTCTTTTGTATTATTGTGGTAAAATATGTATAATGTAAAATATACCATTTTAACAATTTGTAAGTGTACAATTCAGTGGCATTAACTACATTCATATTGCTTGTAAGCATCACCACCATCCTTCTCCAGAACCGTTTGATTTTCCCACCTGGAAATTACTACTTTTAATAAAATGAAAAGTCAATTATTCTCATCTTATGTTGACTTTTCTTTTACCCTTTAGACACTACCCCCTTCTCCGCACCCCAGCCCCTGGTAACCACCATTCTACTCTGTGTCTATGAATCTGACTACTTTAGGGGCCTCACATGAGTGAAATCATGTAGTATTTGTCCTTTTGTGTCTGGCTGGTTTCACTTGGCATAATGTCCTTAAGGTGCATCTATGCTGATGTGTCAGAATTGTCTTTCTTTTTAAGGCTAAATAATATTCCATTTTATGTATATACCACATTTTATTTATTCATTCATCTATCGATGGACATTTGGGTTGCTCCCACCCAAAGGTAAGTTTGCTTTTTAAGAGGTCAGCTTTAGCCTTCTCACCCATGATTGAAACAAGGTATAAACTTGGTTTATTCAAAGTCTGGTCTGGAGGTGGCCACCACTATTGTTAGACCCCTTTTGGACTGGACCCTCTTGGCCAGTGTTGACTGAGTGGTATGAGCTTGCAGGTTCCAATTGGACCTTTGACCTTCATTTTAGTTCTATATACATGTTCGAACATGATATAAAGAAGATGGCTGAAAGACTCATTTAGTAGCCATGTAATTTATTTATAATCTTTTATCATTTTTTTCTAGTTATTAATAAATTTTCAGAAATCTGTTTTTTTATCACCTGGGAAAACTAAGAGAAAATTTTATTTTAGCAGATTATTCTCATCTTGTATTGACTTTTCTTTTCATATATATTTTCTGCTGCTTATTCAATACTAGAGGCTTGGTGTGTGAAAATTCATGCTCTGGAGGCGGTGTCCCTCAGCCCGGCTTGCCCCCTCTCACAGTTCAGGAGCCCTCAGAGGTGGGAGGTGACCTGGCCATCAGGGGAAGGTGATGCCCCCATCACACTTCTGCTGCTGCCACTGCTGGTAGTGCAAGCCTTGGCTGGCCCTGGTTACCTGAGCCTTGGGGGACCCTGGGCAGCTTGGCAGCCGCCATCTGAGGCTTGCCTATGCCTCAGGCCCACCTAGGCAGCTGGCCAGCTGCCATCTGAGGCTTGCCTTCACCTCAGGCTGGTCCTAGGCAGCTGGATAGCCGATGTCTGAGGCTTGTCTGCACCTCAGGTGTCAGCTAGGTAGCCGTCATCGGTGGCTTGCTTGTGCCTCAGGCATCGGCTGGGCAGCCACCATCAGAGGCTTACCTGTGCCTTGGGCTGGCCCTAGGCAATTGGAGGGCTGAGGGTGGGTCCTGCTACACTGTGTGCCTGCTGCCCCAAAAGGACTGTGGGACTCCAGCGGGGCTGAGGGGATGAGGGGACTGGGTGCCATCATCTTGTGGCTATGGGTGCCACCATCTTTGTGATGGTGTGATGGTCAATTTGCATATTCCCTCTTTATTAGCTAAGATATGTTTGATTTGCTGTCAGTTATTGATTTTTTATTTTTAGCTTATCTGTCTCAAAATGTTCTGTGGTCACAGAGGTCAGTAGAAACCTAAAGAGCAAGTGAATGATGGCAAACAGATTTTTTATTTCCAAGGAGGGTTGGGTGCCCATGCTGTGTGACACTGAGTGAATTTAGTGAAAACTGGTTCCTCAGCATGGAGACAGGGTGTGTAGAACAGGAGAGAATACACAGAGGAAACCTGCAGAAACCAGCCAGCCTTGTTGGGTTCAGAGCCAACTTTCATCATAGGATCTGAGACTCCACCCTCCTCAAGCAGTCCAACACACACTGCTGTTAGTTTCTGGTTGTTGCCTAAATTCATGATTCAGAATCAAGTTAATTGTAAAAACAACCTGTATGATTTCTCTGCATAATAATTGTTCCTCTTTTTCCCAGAAAGCTCCCAACTTTGCTAGTCCCCTCAAAGAGAATTAAGCACGGGAAGCTGACAGCTAGCTGCTAATTGCTACTAGAACTCATTAAAAATAGTACTGGAGTTCCTAAATCAGTGAGCTTTGTAGTTTGGGAAAAGCACCAAGTGGTAGGGAGGTGCTCAGTAAAGTCCAGAAAACACAGAAGAAACCTGCAGTTTCCAATCCATTAAAAAGCCAGTTTCTTTAGAGGTTTACTCGGCAAACTCACTAGTCAACAGAACCAAATATCAACAGTTCAATGATAGAAATTTCTTTTGAGAGCCAAATTTTTTAAACTTAAACTTCTTCTAACGCCACTTCTTCAAAATAGACTTGCCTAGGCCGTGGTATTTTGTGGAAGAGCCACACTCAAGGGGCCAAAGAGCCTCATGTGGCTCACGAGCTGCAGTTTGCCGACCATGGCCCTAGCCGATTTGGCTCAGAGGATAGAGCATCGGCCTGCAGATTGAAAGGTCCCAGGCTTTATTCCTGCAAGGGCACATGCCTGGGTTGCGGGCTTAATCCCCAGTAGGGGCGTGCAGGAGGCAGCCAATCAATGACTCTCATCATTTGATATTTCTATCTCTCCCTCTCCCTTCTTCTCTAAAAATCAATAAAAAACATTTTAATAAATACTAATCAAATTAAATACTTCTGCCAACAGTTTGTGATAGTTTTATCCTTACACATAGAAGGTTACTTTCTTATAAAGGGACATTATGCACAACTTTTAAGTAAAGATTTAACACTCTTTTTTTACTAAAATCTGTACCTATTTTCTGAATATTCAGTGACATAGGAAACCTTCCTGGTTCCAGGATTCTTGCTTTGTGGGTTTCACCCATTAGAGAGTTCTGCATCAACCACACTGTCTTTGTTCAGGTGGTGATTCTTTGTTGTTGACATCAGCTATTCTAACATTAGTATGTGATTGTGTTTTATTTTTATTATTATTTTTCAAATTTCTTTATTGATTAAGGTTTTACATATGTGTCCTTGTTCCCCTATTACCTCCCCTGTTCCCTCCACTCATGCCCTCACCCCTCTGTTGTCTAGTGTCCATTGGTTAGGCTTATATGCATGCATACAAGTCCTTTGGTTGATCTGTGGTTGTGTTTTATTCACATACTAATTCACCAGGCATTTCTTAAATACTCATCAAGTGTCAGGCTTATCTACACAAGAAGCTGGGAAGAAGTATTGTATCTATATAGTTGCCTGTGAATTTACTCATTTATTCCACACAGTTGTTGCAAGGCACTGTGCTAGGAGTCTGATGTGGATATGTAGCCTGGCCCTCGAGCATGTACTGAGCAGGGGAACAGTTCCTGCAGAGTTGATCTTGTCTTGGAATTCAGCTACCCCACAGCCCATGAGCCAGATGTTTGCCCTTGATACTTTAAGCAACCTCAGTGTGAGAGCTGATGATAACCTCGCCCCTCCCTCCCTCCCTCCCTCCCTCCTTCCTTCCTTTCTTCCTTCCCTCCTTTTCTTCCTTCCATTAGAATCCTCTGCATGTCACACTGCAACTTCCCTTTTTTCACTTTCTTTTTAACTTTGGACTTAATCTGGTCATGATGACGATGATAATAATAATGACAACAATACCATTTACCATATACCAGCCAAGCACTGTTCTCAGCATTTTATATCATTTAGTACTTCCAGCAACCCTTTGATGTGGTACTTTTTGCCATTTTCCAACATTATACAATAGGTGAGAAGAGTGAAGCACAGAAAAACTTGCCAAAGCTCAGGACCAATAAATGTCAGAGTCCAGATTGGTAGAGAAGGGAAAAGGTAGAAACTGCCCCATTTTGACCCCCAATCCAGGTAGGAGATAGGTCTATTTAAAGGTTCACCCCACTGACAATTATTACAATGTGTAGTAATTTGTAATTAGAAGTCTTTCAGTTTTACAATGTGAAGCATAAGTGCAAATGGATTGGAATCTCTTGCCCATCATTCAGCAGATTCTCAGCTTGGGAGGCAGAAGTTGTTTTGGAAATAACTTGGAACATGGCTTGGGCTTCAGAGCAGAGGGATTTGGTCTCTTTATAGCAGAGACGTTTCTTCTCCCCTCCTATTCCCCTCACCCTGCATGGCCATCCTTTTGAATTCACAAACAGTGCAGCAGGTGCTTTGAGTATTGAACAGGCATTGCCAAAGAAGTTCTTTCCTCCCAAGTTTATGTTTTTCTTGACCATTTGTGTTGCTAGTGTTAATTTCTAATTCTTCTTTGAATATATTTTTGTTAATTTTATTCAGAAGAAATTCTGCTTGACTTTGTTGGACTAGCTTATTTCCCATAGCCATTCTGGCATCTCTAACATCTTGGGACTTTTTACCCTGTCCATCTTCTGTGTCAATATAGAGTGCTAATTTTCCTTCCTAAGGAAGCATGAGGCTGTCACTTTGCCCTTTAGGACAGTATCTTATAGGAATCCACCTGCTCCTTCCATTATGTTCACCCAGTAAATGGTGGAGTTTTCCTCCTGTGAGGCAGGGGACATTCAGTAGCAGAGAAGAATATGTTGGGTGTTTCTGTTTTAGTGCTCCCATTGTGTGAAGGAGACAGTTCATCTTCAGGAGGCCTGATAAAACAGACCTGTGGGAGGGAAGAGTGTCGGAGATGGGGGGGAGGGGGGGTAAAGGAGACAGGTGACAAGAAGTCCAGGGTCTAAGGAGATGGTGGCAGAGAGAGGAACTGCCATTTTCTTTGAAGTCAGTGTCTTATTTGTGGTGTTGAGTGGTCTTCTCTATGCAAATATGTGTAATCTTATTCCCAAACCACTTTTTTTATTGTTCATCTTAATCTGTGTTACAAAAGCATATTTATGGGGTGATGAAAATGTTCTAAAGTTAGATTGTGGTGAAATTAAAAATTCCGCATATGCTAAAACCCTTGAGTTGTACACTTTAAAAGGGTGAATTCTATGGCACATGAATGATCCCAGAAAGATGTTTTTAAAAAGACAAAAACTATATTTAAACAAATATTGACCATTAAATTCAAATCTTGGGCAGGATCAGAATCTGGAAGCTCCTGCCGTTGAGTGTCCCCAGCTTGCCTTAAAGAGCCCATCTCCCTTGCCTTTCTGTATGTCTCCTCTGTGAACACTAGATGCTTTAGTTGCTCTTGTTTCACTTGTAGATTCACAAAAGCTCTAGTGATAACTTGAGAATCACATTTTGGTGAGAATGTGGAGACTGGCAGCCTGTGGATCCCAAATGATTCCAGTTCCTGCCTAATTCAGAGCTCACTAAGGGCTGCACCTTGGAGATACCGTGTTTCCCCGAAAATAGGACATCCTCCGAAAATAAGACCTAGCACATGGAAAGATAAGACATCCCCTGAAAATAAGACGTAGCGCAACTTTGGGAGAAAAAAATAATATAAGACACTGTCTTATTTTCGGGGAAACAGGATAGATAGCTGAATGGGGAGGGTCAGAATGGAGTCCTCTGTGTGTGAGGGAGATGGCTGCTGTGCATATCTGAATTTGAAGCTTGAGATGGCTAGAGCAGTTAAGAGAGTCTTAAAAACCAATATTTTAATATTTTTAAAGTTTTTTCTTTCTTTAAGTGTGGTGCATGCTCGTTGCAGAATATTTACAACAGTGTTCTTAGGTTTTGTTTCATCATCAAGCTAATTAGAAATGCATTTTCCTCAGCCCTGTCTTAGACCTTGAATTAAGTTGGAGCCTAGAAATCTGCCTGTTTAACAAGCAACCCCTCCCTCCCAATAGTTCATAAGCATGTTAAATTTTTTAAAAATATATAAAAAAGAAAAAAAGTGAAAACGCTTATAATTACCTCTCTTAAAGATGACCATTTTTGGGGCTAATTCTTTACAGCAGTTTTACCCACCTAAGTGTGTCTATCTTTATGTGTTTTTACAAATTTTATTTATATTGTATTTATAGTTTTGTACCTGTTTTATCCTCTGTTTAACATTATATCCTGAGCATTTTCCAATGTCATTAAATATTCTCCAGAAACATGATAATTAAACAGTTAACTTTCTGTCTGTTTTATCCTCTATAATTTTAAAAAGCTCAGCCCAGGCCAGGACAGAGGCAAGTGACCACCTTATTTCTTGCTGGACCTGTTTCATGAATTAGAGATGGGTTACAGCATGGTGAAATTCATACAGTTTTTATTCTACTTTGGAAAGGAATGTAATGGGTGTCTCCTTAGTGTCATATGCAGATTATTTAATAGCCGACTCATAACTTAGGTACAATTCTGTTTAGCATTTATAGAAAATGTTCCATTTTTTATTTTTGCCCTAAAGTGAATCTATGTAAACCACAGTCTTGTCTGTATGTCTGGACCCATTCCTACTTTTGACATTAAGGCACGGTCATCTCTGGCAGGTTCCTATATTTTTACACAGTAGTGAGTCTTTTGTGATTAATTTTAACTTGGATTATTAATCATTAAAAGGCAATTTTAATACATTTTAAACATCTTTAGTGTTATGTGTTTTATTGAGTCTACAATTTAACAATTATCACCTACAAATTGATCTCATGGGTTCACTTCCTTGATCACAGTCTTTATCTATCTTAGTACCTTTCCACATTCTGAGCCAGTCAGAAATTAACATAGTTATCTGCAAAACACATAAAAGAGATAGCCCTCTAGTCCCTAGACCTAGATTATTTTGGGTATGGTCAATTCTGAAGTTTCAAGAAAGAAAGATGTAAGTCATTTTGGGGGCATTTTCTGGCTAGACGTGAGGAGGAATCAGTCACTTGCAGAGTAATGACTTGCCCATTTTTTTCTTCTGTGACAGATGCCAGAGATGCAGAACAGTTGAGCAGGAACAAGGTGACCCACATCCTGTCTGTCCATGATAGTGCCAGACCCATGTTAGAGGTAAGAACGTGTGCTGGGGTGCAAGGGACACCCGTGTGCTCCTTTGGTTGCTGTTGTGCTCGAAGGACTACATTCACAACCGCAACCTAGTCGAGGGACTACATGCCTGTGGAATGCGGAGGGTGTGTTGTTCCCATTCTCCTGCTGCATTGCGAGCTTGGCTTTCTTGACTATGTACCAGAGATAAGTTGATGCTGCACTGATTTCCCTCTGGGTTTAAAGGACATTTTAGACCCATTTCATTCCTTTCAAAATTATCTCCAATTTTAGAATCCAAAAGAATCTGGGCTGCTTATTTCCTAGTTGTTGTTTTTTCCCCCACTTAAGCTCAATTATGACTCATTTGCACTTGGGAATAAAAGATAATGGGAGATAAGTCACTGGAGATTTCCTAAGACTCCTCTGATACAGAGGCTGTCAGTGTTGAAACTGTTGTGTATTAAGTTTTCAAGTAAACAAGGTTTGTCAGTCTGTACATTAATTCCCAAACCATCTTCAGTGTTACCCCAATGGACTGTTTAAGCTGTTGTCCAGGAGCCAAATCTGTTTGTTTGTTAGCCTTGGCAGAGTCCAAGTTACCTCTTTTTAGGAAGGTAATGCATGTGTGGTTGTAACGTGTATTGTGTTTTTCTGTTGTAGGGTAGGGTGTTGGAGAAAATGGGGCGATTTGTTCTGAAAGAAATAATCCTAGTTCAATTTGTTTTCATTTAAATTCATATTCCAATAAAAGTTTATGATCTATCAGAATAGATCATACACTTTTATTGTTAATCTATTTTCCTTAGCCATTAGAGCTGCCAGATTAGAGTTAGTATAAAATAAATGAGGACATGGAGGAAGAAGTGATTCTGTCAAATCTTGTATAGACAACTGTATGTGGTAAGCAACTCGGACCATTTCTTGAGATCTGTGAGCTGGCACTTCTGTTTCAGCTCATACTTCTTGTTAAGGTGCTATAATTTGTGTTGTAGCAAAATTTCATTGAAAAACACAACAACAATAGCACACCATTTTTGGGAATAATAGTTCCATTTTTTTATCTAGGAATAATAATTTTTATTTAAAGCATAGCCAGGCTATGGCCACCATCATAAGTTAAACATAAACAGTCATGATTGATTTCCTCTTAAATCATAACATGAGACTTGAGGTTTCCTTTATTTAATGAATGATATAGATGTCCTTTCCTCCTCATCCTCGAACCCCCCTCCTGACTCGATGCTCCATTTAGCGGAATGTTGTCCTTGTCCTGTATGAACATGGCCCTTGACCTGTCCCATTGTAGCTCCTGGTAGATACAAGATCTGCAAGTGTTAGACGTAAAGGAGTGCCAGCCCTGATTTGCCCAACCTCTCATTTTACACATGGGGAAATGAAGGACTAGTGAAACAGGTGGGATTGTAGCCCGGTGTAGAGAACACTGTTTGCGTAAAACCCTCAGAGCTGTGGGTAACTGTGTTCCCATCAATAATATACTGCATATTTCTTTTTAGCCCCTACATATCTCAGTCTAACTTCACAAGTAATTCATGAATACATTCTTATTTTTTTAAAAAATAGAACAATAGCCTCTCTTATGTAACAACTGCTCACATTAAGTTATTGGAATAGAGGAGTTTCACCGGCCAGGGATCAGATGGTTCAGACCTTTGGTTAGCCCTTGCCTGATGCCCATGGCAACTTCTATCTTAAATTGCAGCTCTAGTTCCAGAAGCCACACTCTCACCAGCATGGGCTAGGTCACGGATATTAACTTGTTTGGAGTAGGTAGGGAATTAACAGGTAGATTTGATCCCTAGAGTGAAATAAGGACAGAGATGAAGGTCAAAGGGCAGATTGTGTGCAGGGCAGAGCAGCTGCAGTGAGCTGCTCTGAGTCTGAAGAGGGGCCCAGTAGAGAGTGGAGGGGAAAGAATGAGAGAGAAGGGAGCTGGACCTGCTTCATTTTATAAGAGCTTCAAAACCATGCATGTTTATCTTATGATCCCTGACTTACTCTGAGTAGCACTAGTCTCGGGTGGAGCTGGAAGAGAGAGGTAGTTACTACCGTGTTTCCCCGAAAATAAGACATCCTCCGAAAATAAGACCTAGCGCATGGAAAAATAAGACATCCCCTGAAAATAAGACTTAGTGCATCTTTGGCAGCAAAAATTAATATAAGACACTGTCTTATTTTCGGGGAAACAGAGTATCTAATATAGAAAGGTTTCAGCTCACAGGAGTTCTGTGAGTCTTGCTGTTGTGTCTGTGGATTGGGCAGTGCACTTTAGGTCGTTTCCAACAAACATCTTAGTGAGTTTTAAAATGCTGGATGCTTAGCATCACTTAGAAAGGGATTTTGGAATCTTTAGGTCTGCTCTAAGTGAGAAAGGGCCGTCATATGTTCACCGAGGTTTCTAAAACAGAAGCCAGAGGTAGGGGCTTCCTGAGGATCTCAAAGGATAGGCATAAGCTGTCAGACATTAGGCCTGGAATATGATGCTTTGCAAAAAATAAATAGGGAATTTAACACCTTTCTGGAAGATTTACGGTGTTTTGACAGTAAAAGGTTCCAAGTTCCGCATTGAAGGTACACATTAACCAGTCTCTCTGAGCAGGGACCTGATACCATCTGTGGAACTATGTTCTGCTGAATATGGTCATGGGAATCCAGAGTCAGGAGGACTCTGGAAAGGGCCACAAATCTGAGTGAGTATCCTGGGCAAGTGGGTGTTCATAGGAATGTTCAGACACCTGAGTAGCCAAGAGGACTAGCGTCAAGGAGGTGGTGCCAAAACTGATCTCGTTACTGATGGAGGCTGCCGGATGGTGAGTTTCTGGACATCTTGGTATAAAAGAGATAGACAGAATGGAAGATTACATAGTTTTTGTGCCTGTTATAGCCTCTTAGGTGTAATCTGTTGCAATAACAGTACTATAAAGTATGCCCACCATAAAAGAACTCATGAATATGCTGATATCTTCAGTTATTATCCACTTATTAATTTTTAAAAAATAAATTTTATTGATTTTTTACAGAGAGAAAGAGAAAGGGATAGAGAGTTAGAAACATCGATGAGAGAGAATCATCGATCAGCTGCCTCTTGCACATCCCCTACTGGGGATGTGCCCGCAACCAAGGTACATGCCCTTGACCGTAATTGAACCTGGGACCTTTCAGTCCGCAGGCCGATGCTCTATCCACTGAGCCCAAACCGGTTTCGGCTCCACTTATTAATTTTATTTAGGAAAAACTCTAAGGAATTTTGTTGATTTTAGATTAGATTAGATCTGATTTTCCATTATTTGGATAATTGTTTGATGGTTTCTGACATGGCATTAGCAGGGTCTCCCACTCTTCGTAGCAACCTGATAGGTGGAAGAAAATGAAAGACGCTGTTCTCTACCTGCTGCACCTGAACCTGGTCCTGGAGTGCAGCAGCTTGTCTCTGGTGTTTCTGTGCTGGATGCAATGAAGTTCTCCATCCTCTGAACCAGGAAGGTCAGTGAGGGGGAAGAGGTCTGAGGCTTCAATTATCTCTCCGAAGAGTACCTGAGGAATAAGTCTTTGGAATGAAGACTTTTAGAAACTTGGGCACCTCTATACTCACACGAGTCAGCCCTAAACTAACAGAAGATGCTGAAGAGCTCTGGCTCCCATTTTTATGCCTGCTGCACAGGGTCCTGGAGATGACCTACTTGATCCCATCACTGTGAGCAAGAAGCTGAAGTTCAGAAATGTGCAGGGATTTGTTCTTGATCCCACAGCTGATGTATGGCTTTGTGGAAACCTGGATCTGCTCTCAGGTTATCCAGTGAGTTTCCCTGCTGTAGTTCTCTGGTAGCACAACTGTTGCCCCTGAATTTGTCAACAGTATTGGTAGATGTTGATACATCAGCTTGGGAAAGGATTGTACCATTTGTGTCTTGATTAACAGTGTATGAAAGTGTATTTCCCCAGACTACCACCACCATCGAATCTTATTCTTCTTTACTTTTTATTAGCAATATTTTTGCTTTTTATTATTGCCTCAAGTGCCTTCCTCATACTGTTGAGTCTTTTGTCCAGACGTTGAATGCAGGGAGTTAATGATTTATTCATTTCTTGAACTCCTACTACATGCCACCCGAAGGTAGGTGCAGGAGATAATAGAAGTAAATCTCAGTATCTGCCCTGGTGAAGCCCTTAGTGTATAAAGAGGATATGCATTATGGTTATTTTATAAGTATCCTATTTAATAAAACAGTAATATGCAAATTGGCCATCACTCTAACACAAGATGGCCACCCCATGTGGACAAAGATGGCTGCCCCTATGTGGATACAAGATGGCGACCACAAGATGGCCTGCAGAGGAGGGTAGTTGTGGTCGATTGCTGGCCTGATGAGGGCGGTTAAGGGTGGCCAGACTGCAGGGGAGGGCAGTTGGTGTCAAACAGGCTGGCAAGGGAGGACAGTTGGGGCAACCAGGCCTGCAGGGTGGGCAGTTGGAGGGAACCAGCCCTGTAGGGGATGGCAGTTGGGGGGGACCAGGCCTGCAGGGAAGGGTAATTGGGGGCAACTAGGCCAGCAGGGGAGGGCCGTTAGGGGTGATTAGGCTTGCAGGGGAGGACAGTTCAGGTGACCAGGCCTGTAGGGGAGGACAGTTAGGGGCAACCAGACCTGCAGGAGAGAGAAGTGGGGGTGACCACGCCGGCCAGGGAGGGCAGTTAGGGGTTACCAAGCTGGCAAGGGAGGGCAGTTAGGGGTTACCAGGCCAGCTGGGGAACACTTAGGCATCATTCAGGCTGCCAGGGGAGTGGTTACGGATGATCAGGCTGGCAGGCAGAAGTGGTTAGGGGCAATCAGGCAGGCAAGCGGTTGAGAGCCAGCAGTCCTGAATTGTAAGAGGGATATCTGACTGCCCGGGCAGTCGGATATCTCAAGAGGGGTCTCAGATTGGAGAGGGTGCAGGCTGGGCTGAGGGACACCTCCCCACCCCCCGTGCATGAATTTTGTGACTGGGCCTCTAGTTAATAATAA